TATCTAAAGGAATACAATACAGCAGTCAACCTTATAATCTGATTACGAAGGTGTATTTTAGTTTTAATAAAATTTCTTTATTTTATTCAAAAATAAAAAGTTTCTTGCCATTTGTAAAAGAAACATTTATTTTATTAAGGGGAAAGGCGCCAAATGCAGCCTGGAAAATTTTTCAATGTGTTTTAAATGTATCCATTATTTTGGAATCCGAAGAAAAATAATAAATATTTTTAAAAAATTTAGACGCTGAATGAAAGATTGCATTATTACTGAGGGCAGAAAGTCCCTGAAAACTTCTACAATGTTTATTTTAATATGTTATGTAGACCTTAAAATGTTCGTTTCAATTTATTCTATAAAGAAAAAAAGTTTTTAGTTAATTTTAAAACCTTTAATTTTTAATAACTTTAATATAAAAGGTATAATAACCTTTGAAATTTTATTTTTTATATATAAGGACCTTATAAGTTAATCGTACGTATTATAGCTGAGTTGTACTTGAAAAATTGAATTAGCAAACCAAATTAACCAAATACTTTAAAAGCAAAAACTTTCGATCGGTATATGCTGCCGGTAGTGACATATGGAACTGAAACATGGGCTTTTAACACCAATATAATCCGCATAATTCAAGTGTCTTAGAGAGCTATGAAACAGAGAATGGTTATTATTAAGCCTAGCGATCGCAAGTACAATGAAGAAATAAGAAAAAGAACAAAAGTTATAGATATAATCCAAAATATATATAATATATATCAAGCGAATCTTCTACAGCTGGCACCGCTTCGCGCATCCTAATTTCCAGCGTTTTCTGTCGAAGCAATCTTCAGTTGTTAGATCTCTGGTGGTCATTGCGTCGTCGACATCGTCTCTCCAAGATCGACTTGGTCTACCTCGTTTTCTTCTAGTTGGCGGAGTCCATTCTTCTATTATTTTTGGCCATTTATTTTCAGGCATTCTCTGAAGGTGTCTATACCAGTTAAGTCTTTTAGCTTAGATTGTGTCTATTATGTCTAGATCGATTTCCATTTCTCTCCGAATATCTTCGTTTCTCACCCTATCAAGTCTAGTGAGCTGGCAACATCGTCTTCAGTAGTTCATTTCCATTGCCGTAATTTTTGATTTATTTACCAGAGTTTGGCGCCGTAGAGTCCAATACTTTCTGGACTGTCTGGTGACTGTCTGATGGATGATCTTGCTTGACCAATCCTGGAATTTATTTCCTCGCTCCTTCCTGCTTTTAATGTTATTTGGACTCACAAGTATTTAAAATTGTCTGTTGGTTTTATAGTTCTCATTCCTTTTTTTTCCATTGCTACTAAAAGCATTGAAAGTGGTACACTATCGTATTCCTTTGTCAGATTTATAAACACTATATAAGTTAAAAGGTTGTGAGCTAATCTTTTCCCGATAACTGTCCATAAGAGAGAATATACTGTCCATACAGGATCTGCCTGCACGAAAGCCATTCTGTTCTTCTACATCTGCCATCACTTTTTTAATTTTATTTTTTATTATTTTTCCATACACTCTTGAGAGTGAATTTATGACACTTAGCCCCCTGTAGTTTGAACAATCTTCTTTTTTGTAGATGTTTTTAATAGATGTGCTTTTTTCCACTCCGGTGATAAGTCGTATCCATTATAGAATAAGGTAACATACGCCATAACATACGCCAGTTTTTCCCGTAATACTTGTGGGCTATGTTTTAATAATTTATTTGGTATACCTAGTGGTCCGCATGACTTCCGATTATTTAGAGTTCGTATTGCATTCTCGACTTCCTGTACTGTTATTTCATCGTCTTTACTGAATTTAAGTTCATGTTGTACTGATGTTCGTGAATTGAGGTCTTGTTTCAGCCAAAAGTTGTGAGTAGTGTTTGATCCAAGATCTTTCTTTTACTAAATGTATTCTACTCGTTTCTTTTTTGTTTGTTCTCAGTTTTTTACCGTTTTTCATACTTCTCTTGATCTTGTTAACCCTATATATTTGTTGAGTTCTTCTCATTCACTTTTCCAGGAAATATTTTTTGCTTTAGTTACTAAATTTTTTACTTGACTGATATTGCATATGTTCGTCTATCATCTGGATCATTTGTTTGCAGCCACTTTTGATAAGCTTATTTCTTTTTGTGTACTGCATTGGCGATGTCATTTATCCACCACAATGGAGTATTTTTTTTGTTCTTTTGGATTGTACCGAGCGCTTCTTAAGCTGCTTCATTGATTTTATTGATTATCTCGTTATAGGTATTCTGTGCTAAGGTTTACCAATTTTTGGCTAGGTCGCATAGCATAGGTAGCATAGCATAGGTAAAAAATATGGCCTCAAAATCAACATTTTGAAAACGAAATATATGGTCATTAGCAGAAACCCTCCAGAAAACCCGATATTATGCATAGATGACAATTGTATAAATCGCGTGAAAGCTTTTAAATACCTTGGCACCACAATCAATGACCAATCGGATCCACAACACGAGATAAAAACCCGAATACAAATGGCAAGACAAGCTTTTGTGAAATTCAGACCGCTCCTATGTAATCAACACCTAAACTTCGAAATACGCTACAGAATGGTCAAGTGCTACATATGGTCCATCTTGCTTTATGGCATGGAAACGTTTACTTTGAAAAAAACATCTATCAACAAACTTGAAGCATTTGAAATGTGGCCATTGAGAAGAATGATGCGCATACCTTGGGTGGATAGAGTTCGAAACGATGACGTCCTTAATAGAGCCGGCGTGGAAAGAGAACTCTTTGAATTAATTAAAAAACGCAAGATTGGTTACCTTGGACACATATTGAGAGGAGCAAAATATGAAATACCACAGTTAATCCTACAAGGGAAGATCGAAGGTAGGAGAGGAGCCGGCCGCAAACAATTGTCCTGGTTAAGGAATATTAAAGAATGGACAGGAATACACAATACAGGTGAGCTGTGTCACGCCGCCAAGAACAGAATTCTAGTAATGAGATAGTCGCCTACGCACTTTGGTGTATGGCATGTTAAGAAGGCTACGTCGCAGCTTATATAAGAATGATATCGAGTCGTTTTGCAGTGTATCAATATTGTATTTAGGAGATTCGATTCCAGAGGTTTTGATTGTGCTAGTTGGTTATCATTTGGATGTTGGATACTATCGTTAGATAGTAGCCGAGGTCGATACTGTAAGTAACATTTTGATCTTACCATATAGTGGTCAGCTCCGCACTCCGGTCCTCTTAATACTCTTATGTCTTCAACTTTTATGTGTGTTTCTTATTTTGTGATGACATAACTTTATGTTTCTTGTTGGTTGAACCCAGGTGTACTTATGTATATCTTTATGTTGGTAGAATTCGTTTAGGATTTTCAGAGAGTGTTGTTTACAGAATTCGATTAAGTGTTTTATTTCATTTTCATTTGTTTTAGCGTCAATATATTTTTCTACGACTTTTTCATTTGTTATTTTTCCTGTCCAAGCATTAAAATCTCCCAACAACACAATTTCTTTGCGGCTATTTATATTTTCAAAAAGACTCATAGAATGGAGACCTAGAGAAGACAAAAGACACCGAGGCAGACCACCAAAAAGATGGATGGACGACTTGAGAAAAACAGTCGGAAATTGGATACAGAAGGCGCAAGATAGAGAACAGTGAAAGAACATGGAGGAGACCTATATCCAACAGTGGATGCAAGAGGTTGAGGAATGATGATGATGATGATGATGATTTATATTTTCAATGAGTTCCGATACAGTTTCTTAGAATTTTTGTTAAGCTGCTTTTGGTGCATTTTTTGACGGAGCATATATTCCAATGATCTTGAGGTGTGCCCTATCCACGTGATAGATACTCTAATAATTCTCTCATTGATCTGCTACCAGCTTTTCAGGTTTTAAGTCTTTTTTATCAATATTGATACCACTGCTTGTGCTCTTTTGTCTTTCTTTCACTATAAATATGTATAAAATCTCCTATGTCTTCACTACGTTGGCCTTTTTTCTTTGTTTCGGTAAGAACCGTGATATTTAATTTTATTTTCTTCAGGTCTGCCATGACTTCGTCTGACTTGGTTCTCCACCTTTGGATATTTCGTGTATTTATATTCAACGTCTTTCTTCGTTTTTTTTCCGTCCGTATTCCGAGGCTAGATTTTAGAATTTTTTGCAGTAAGTTTCTTCACGGGTGTAGAGGTGCAGGCTCTACGTCCCAACCCCATACCAGGAGGACCATGATTTTCTGTTAGTGAGAGAAGAGTAGTAGAGTGTAGTAGACAGAAATATTATAGTGACCCGTCCGCCCTCGAATTACTCTAATAGCCACTCGCAATCAGAAAAACAAGAGTTAGCCAAGAGAGGCCGATAGGGAAGATTAAAGACATTTCACTCAAGACACGTTGAAAAAGAGCAAACTGTGAAGGCCCCTATGATCCGCCAGGTGCGTTTCATAAGCGTATGAGTATTTGTACACTTTGTATTCCCGCTAATACCTCGGGGTGTTGACTACAGACTGTATGGCTCGTTCAGCATGCCATAGCATGGAGGATAGGGTGCATGTCATTCTTACAATGTAGACCCCTAAACGCCACGGCATGACAAATATCCAAAATACTGTTATGTTAAATGAAAACTAGTCAGGACACATACAAAAAATAAAATTCAACCGTTGGATAAAGATACTTATTGAATGGCTTCAAGAGCAAACAAGAGAAGTAAAGGCAAGCCTCTAACCAGATGGACTAATGACATGGAGCGAATGGCTGGTCACAAATGAATTTTACTTCTCAAATTACGTGAAATAAACTAATGGTATGTTATTTATTATTCACTAATATGTCCCATACCTTAAAGTATGTAGATATCGTACATAACAACCGTTTATAACCGACCTTAATTTGACCTCCTGTAATATTTTGTTAGATTAATGTTTATTTTAGGTGCAAACTTCTGATAGTAATCATAGAGGTCATATAAAGCTGAATACAAAATATCCCGATTACACTACACCAACATATTCTTTTTGAGTTTTTAATAGAGTGGTGGTTATGCAGCGATTATTTTTTTTAACCTTTTACGGTAAGTACCAAATATTTTTAAAAATGTTCATTTTTATGTATATTTAAGAACTTAACATTAAACCTTTAAATATAAATAATATATTAACTTATTAGAGATAAGGATAATTAATTTATGTAACATCTACTCTATTTTTAATTTTTTATATTTTTGTACTCCATTTTTTCTACAGACTTATTTTCTTTTACTTAAGACCAAACTTAAGACTTTTGGGTAAAAACAGGTGAAAGGATAGGCTAAGTATACTGTTTAGTCCTTTATTAATCCAATATTTCGTCGATAGTTATCGACATCATCAGGGATAAGCTACAATTAGTTTACATGAAAATTGACAATCTGTTATAAATAAGTTGATGATACTTACGATTTTGAGAATAGTGCCGTAAAAGCTGGTCAAAGTTATAAAAATTTTTTTGTGAAAAAATTGTATGTAAAAAGTTTTTTCACAAAAAGAAAAAACAGAAAAAACATGTAATGTAAACTCACTAAGACTAGTACAAAGACAAGGCACAATTTTAACTAATTATGTGTAGGACCGAATGTCCTCTCTCGAGAGTTTTACATCCTATATTTTCTTATTACAAATGAAAATGGGGAACACTTAATCGAACTCTGTGAACAGCACTCTCTAAAAATCCTAAACGGATTCTACCAACATAAAAACATACATAAGTACACCTGGGTTCAACCAACGAGAAACACAAAGTCAATTATAGATTATGTCATCACAAAACAAGAAACACACATACAAGTTGAAGACGTAAGAGTACTAAGAGGACCGGAGTGCGGAACTGACCACTATATGGTAAGATCAAAATGTTACCTACAGTATCGACCTCGGCTACTACATCAAAATGACAACCAACTAGCTCAATCAAAACCCCTGGAATCGAATCTACCTAAATACAATATTGATGCACTGCAAAACGACTCGACATCATTCTTATATAAGCTGCGACTTAGCCTAAAATTGGCAAACCTGATCTACTCCTCAGCCCAGAATACCTATAAAGAGATAATCAATAAAATCAATGAAGCAGCTTACGAAGCGCTCGGCACAATCCAAAAGAACAAAAAGAGTACTCCATTGTGGTGGACAAATGACATCGCCAATGCAGTACACAACAAGAAACAAGCATATCAAAAGTGGCTGCAAACAAATGATCCAGATGATAGACGAACATATGCAAGATTAAACAGAGAAGTAAAAAACTTAGTAACTAAAGCAAAAAATATTTCCTGGAAAAGTAAATGCGAAGAACTCAACAAATATATAGGGTCAACAAGATCAAGAGAAGCATGGAAAACGGTAAAAAATCTGAGAACAAACAGAAAAGAAACGAGTAGAATAGATTTAATAGAAGAAAAATCTTGGATCGAACACTACTCACAACTTTTAACTGAAACAAGACCTCAATTCACGAACATCAGTACAACAACATATGAACTGGAATTCAGTGAAGACGATGAAATAACAGTACAGGAAGTCGAGAATGCAATACGAACTCTAAAAAATGGGAAGTCATGCGGACCACAAGGTATACCAAATGAATTATTAAAACATAGCCCACAAGTATTACGGGAATTACTGGCGTATGTCTTCACCTTATTCTATAATGGACACGACTTACCACCGGAGTGGACAAAAACACATAATAACAACATATACAAAAAAGGAGATAGAAAGAATTGTTCAAACTATAGGGGGCTAAGTGTCATAAATTCACTCTCAAGACTGTATGGAAAAATAATAAAAAATAAAATTGAAAAAGAGATGACAAATGTAGAAGAACAGAATGGCTTTCGGGCAGGCAGATCCTACATGGACAGTATATTCTCTCTAAAGCAAGTTATCGAAAAAAGATTAGCCCACAACCTTTCAACTCATATAGTCTTTATAGATCTGACAAAGGCATACGATAGTGTACCACTTTCAATGCTTTGGGTAGCAATGGAAAAACAAGGAATAAGCAAAAAAAATATACAAGCAGTACAACAGCTCTACAAAAATATGACGGCAAACATTAAAGCTAGAAATAGATTAACTAGAGAAATTCCTATTAGTAAGAGCCTAAAGCAAGGCTGCTGCATAACACCTAGACTCTTCAAAATATATCTAAATGAGGCACTCTCACTGTGGAGAAGAAAGTGCTGCAATATGGGCATCCCAATCGGAGATGATAGATTGTACACGATACATTTCGCTGATGATCAGGCCTAAGCTACATGCTTAGAAAACTGGAAAATGAGTACACCAAATGGGGCCTCACAATTAATATACAAAAAACTGAGTACTTAGTTGTAGGAGAACAACCAGAAAGCCTACAAATAGAAATGGGAACTATAAAACCAACAGACAATTTTAAGTACTTGGGAGTCCAAATAACATCAAAAGCAAGAAGTAGCGAAGAAATACATTCCAGGATTGGCCAAGCAAGATCAGCCACCAGACAGCTACACGGACTATTATGGAATAAAAAAATAACAAAAGAAAATAAAAGAAGAATTTATAAAACAATAATAGAAAGTATTGGACTGTATGGCGCCGAACTCTGGGAAATAAACCAAAGAAACAAATCAAAAATTAAGGCCATGGAAATGAACTACTGGAAACGATGTTGCCAGCTCACTAGACTTGATAGGGTGAGAAACGAAGATATTCGGAGAGAAATGGAAATCGATGTAGATATAATAGACACAATCGAAGCCAAAAGACTTAACTGGTATGGACACCTTCAGAGAATGCCGGAAAATAGATGGCCAAAAAAAATAGAAGAATGGACTCCGCCAACTAGAAGAAAACGAGGTAGACCAAGACGATCCTGGAGAGACGATGTCGGGGATGCAATGACCGCCAGAGATCTAACAACTGAAGATTGCTTCGACAGAAAACGCTGGAAATTAGGATGCGAGAAGCGGCGCCAGCTGTAGAAGACTCGCTTGTTATATATATACCTGTACAGAGTGTCATGTAAAGTGGAACAACGTGGTTAATTGTAGGTTTGAAGACACTAACCTTATATAATATTCTTCTTTCTTAGATGGTCAGAGTAGAGGGGATATTTTAGTGGCCCTTGCCTTATTGGTTGTCTGTACCTGTATTAGAATAGAATCTTAGGTAGGAGATATTTTAAAAAATTGAAATTGTTAACGTGATTGAAGATCACTGTAACAAGAGTTTGAAAAATAGATCTTGGTTGATTCCAAGACCAAGTTATTTGGAACTAATTGTAGCTTATCCCTGATGATGTCGATAACCATCGACGAAATATTGGATTAATAAAGGACTAAAGAGTACACTTAGACGATCCTTTCAGCTGTTTTTACCCAAAGAGTCTTAAGTTTGGTTTATATATATAGTAAACTCTTTAATATTGGGAAAATCTGCAAGAAAGACTCAATTGTTTCGCTGAACGTTTTTGCCAAAGAGAATTAATTTGGCTTCTTCAGGGCTGAAAGAGAATAAATTATAATTAGCTACATATATCATCAATTAAAAAACATTTGATCTCACCGTAACTTAGAATTATTGAGTTAGGATGTTAAAAAACTTAGCTAGTAACAACGTAGTGGTGTTTTTTGTTACTATGTGCAGAAAAAAAGTTTTTTTTAACGTTGGAAATGTATGGTAGCTTTGAACTTAAAACGCAGAGATTTACCCAAGGTTAGTCGAAAAATCCAATGTAACTACATTTAAAATGAAGTAATTCTTTCATATTTCTACATAGTATTTTATTTATTTCTCCAAACTGGGATTTAACTTCATTCGGTTTTACCAATGCTGTTTTAATAAATTTATGTGAATTAGTAGCTAAGGAAGTTTATGACGTTGTGTCTGTATTATTGTAGTTAACCCTTTATCGGGCACATTCAAAAATATTTCAATAACCTTTACTGGATAATGGAACCATACGGTTACGTTGAATTCAAATGCATATTTTACTCAAACTCCGCTTTACAAGGCTTGCTGTTCAGTGAAGTCATATGGTATCGGTCATTTGCGGTGGGAGAACGTCAACCAATGGTTAATGTTGCCAGCCATTTTTCACGTGTTTGTAGATTTCGCGCGTTCTTCCGTCAGTTGTTAGGTTAGCTGTGTATGTGCCTACTACTAAGAATTTTTTTGGTAAGTAAAAATATATATTTATATGCAAAACGAATAAGCATGGTTTCTTGAACCTATATTTGATGATTTGTACTACATGATATTACATATAAGGTGATAATTGATATAATAACTTTATAAAAAAACATTGGTAACCATATGGTAACAAGTATCAATAAAAGTTTGTTGTTTTCAGCATTTTGCTATTATGGATGGATTCAATGAGATTCCTTCATGTAGTTTCTACGGAAATTTGAAGGGTAAAATACTACCTCCTCCTCAAGTTTCTGATAGCTCCGATACGGAGGATGAAGAAAATATAGTCGTAAAAAACCTTTATTGGTAACAATTTTTATATTATTTTATTTCAAATAATACTATTTAATTAAATAATTTTAGATGATGATTCAGATATAATATCAAGTGACTCTGAGCACTCCGATTCCTCTGAGAATTTATTGCCAGCGAAGCAAGTTCATCAAATAAGGACACAAACTACAGGTAAAATATACATAAAACTTTAGGAGCTACTATATAATTTGGAGCTCTCTTTTCAATTTTTGTTTTAGAAAATATAATAAACGACCCTGAAGATGCTGATCAACCTCCTAGAAAACGAAAAAAGCCAGGAATAACATTTAACTGGACGAAAAGCGACTTACCCCAAAATGAAAGAGACACTAAGTTTGCTCCTAAAATAAATGAGGAACTACTTCCACCATTGGAGTATTTTACTAAACTATTCTCACTAGATATTTTAGACTACATCATTGAGCAGACAAATTTGTATAGTACTCAAATAAAAGGCACCAGCATTGGTACTGATCCTAATGAGATGACAGATTTTTTGTCAATTTTGTTGATGCTGGGTATAATAGATCTTCCTTCCTATGAAGATTATTGGGCCAGTGGAACACGTATCGAACAAGCTGCAAGCCTGATGCCTATCAAACGTTTTAAACTTCTGAGAAGATTTATTCATTTTAATAATAATGAATATATAACACAAACTACAACAGATAGGTTTTTCAAAATACGTCCGCTTTTAGATAAAGTTAGAGAAAATTTTAAAAAGTTCCACACTGAAAATGAATACTCCATTGACGAAACTATGGTAGCGTACAAAGGAACACGAGCTGGAAATTTACGTCAGTATATCAAAAGCAAGCCGCACAAATGGGGATACAAATTTTTTATCCTATCAGGGGTGTCTGGTTATATTGTGGATTTTATTCCATATCGAGGTTCAAGCACATTAGAAGAATTAAACGGCACCCCTAATGAACTAGGAAAGGAGGAGATAGAACTAGGTGTGGGTGCAGCTATTGTTATAGCTTTATCAAAATCAGTACACATTCCTAGTAAGTCAACAGTTTTTTTCGACAATTATTTTGCAGGCTTACCACTTTTTATTTATTTAAAAGAAAAAATGGGTATCTATAGCTTGGGAACATTACGAAGTAACAGAGTTGGTGGATGTCCATTAGAAACAGATAGTCTTGAAAAAAGCAGGAAGAGGAAAGTATGATTACAAGGCGGATAAAGACAAAGGCATTATAGTCGTAAAATGGGTTGACAGCAAAGTTGTATAGTTAGGAAGTACATTGCACGGAATAGAGCCAATAGACGCAGTAAAAAGATACAGTAAAATTTCAAAAACAAAAATAGATGTTGCCTGCCCTTCTATTGTAAAACAGTACAATAAACATATGGGAGGCGTAGATATGCTAATGCATTAATGAGTTTTTACAAATCTCCACACAAAGCTAAAAGATGGTACTTTGCAATTTTTGCCTATATTCTTGTCATATGTGTGACAAATGCTTGGTTGTTGTACAGAATAGACTGTAAAGCTTTGAACATAAAGTTCACGCCTCTGAAGAAATTTAGATCGGAAATTGCAAAAGCATTATGCCAAGTTGGAAAAGGTTCCAGAAGGGGAAGACCAAGTTTGTGCCAGGCTGGTTTTCCCAAAAAAAAAGATGTCCAGTAGTTGAACAACCAAATGATTTAGCAAGATTGGATTCTTATGCACATTGGCCAATACATACCACAAAAGGAAGATGTAGGTATTGCATCAAGGGAACGTGTCGTCTAAAGTGTGAAAAATGTGATGCAAGGCTGTGTCTCACCGAGGAGAAAAACTGTTTCAAAGCCTTTCATCAAAATAAAAAATTGTAAACTATTTTGTTTTCTTGTCACCATATAGTTGTAATAATAAAAAGTTTAGTAATTTTTGAAGTTTATTTTGCAGACCTTGTTACCATATGGTTACGTTCTGTAATTTGTTGCAGGATAATGTTTCAGATATATAAATATCAATATTTGATTATACTAAACATTTAGAGACGGCTTATATAAATAACTTATTTTTTAAAGCCATTTTAAAGTGGTGCCAGATAAAGGTTATAATATACAATGTTACCGTATGGTTACATGTACCGATAAAGGGTTAAGATTGGCAAAATTTAAAATAAAACTAATATTTTGTAGGTATTGTTCACTACTATTTTCTAAGCTATGAAGCTTGGAATGACGAATGCATTAAAAAAAAATTTCCGGTAAGTGACAGTTCTGTTTATACAAGTAAAACAAACACTCATTTTGAATTTTATGAAATGAGTATTATAAATAAAATGAATAAAGTGAAATCGTTTTACCCTGCCATATTTCGGAATAACGCCCGAAAAATAATTTATGACTCTAGTTAGAGCCACTCTGTTATGCTTTCCCTTTTCTATCTGCTTTATGGTACCGAACCTCTTACTGGTCGGCTGTAGTTGAGGATAAATCAGCGCTAATAAAACAATTTTTTTATAAATCGTGAAAAAACGCAAATTAAATGCTTTGTGATGATAATGTGGCGACTGCCCCAAAACTTACATCGGTCAAACTCGTAGAAACTTTCATAACCAGATAGCAAAACATAAAAGGGCTTTAAATAATAGAAAAATAGATTCTACATATCGACGGTGAGCAGGCAATATGTCCTATCTACAAAAAGTGTGTTTTACAGGAGGAAGAAAAAATCATTTTATTTTAAAAATATTGATATAGGGACGAATAAAAAAAATACGTAATTACTTAAATTTTATTACGTAAAAGTGAATGTTAACAAAAATTGATTTACTTGCATTATACATTTAGTGAGTGAGTTAGGACAATTTGAAATAAAATATTTTGTTACATGGGACTCTATGCATTATGATTATATAATACAAATTAAATTAAAAAGAACTTTTTTATAACAGATAAACTTAAATAATAAAAAGTTTTTATTGATTCTAAACAATATGTGGCAAATTGTCATAGAAAAAGTGACAGTCCGATGGAATGACACTTTTTAGTTCTTGTAGATGTTGCCACTTTACCTTGGAAATTTTACATCGTTCGGTAAATAATGCAGGATATTTGGATATTGTGGGGATATTTTTTTGGTCTTACAGGAAGATCAGTTCAATTTGATTCCGTATGATCAAGTTTTACCTTAATATGTCTTAACGGATTGTAGAAAATAGATCTTATATCCATAACAGTTGAATCGGTTACTATTCGTCGTGGATGAATAGAAGAATATCTTAAAGTTTTGCTATAATTCTTAAACAAACGGAAATCACAATGAATAACCTCGTATGGATTTGGAAGCTTTCTAGCTTCTTTTGTGATAGATGTGTAATCACTTGGAACTCTAATTTCTCTATTCTTTAATTTTCTCTCAATGCATGCATGCACAGAATCCACCTCCATCTGTGTATGCCCAACTTCTAAAAATTACTGATGTATTGTTATGTTATGTAACATACTGAAATTTAAAAGGGCATTGGCCATAACTGCATTTCGATTCTGAGCAGTGCATCTATTCGAAAAAAATGTTGTAGGTTTTTATTCTCTGTTACACAATATCTTGAAAGAAAATTTAGTAAACAAGAAGTAAATGTTGATGCAACAAGCTGATTATTGTGATCTTCAGAAAACCAATAGCAACTAGCATGATTTGTAGCTAAATTGTATACTGTCAAATTGTGGCAGGCAAGCTTGGTCTTGTAATAAAACGCGTTTGCGTGTGTAAAGGGAGCTAATTTTACGGCCTGAAAATCGAATTGTATTGTGAACTGATTTTCTAACTGAGCTTCACATTTGTCTTTTTCCATTCCATTTCTCGAGTCCTGTTTACGTTTTTGACGAGCATGCCATGCCTCTTCTGTTTTCAGTTCGGTAGCTACAACACGTGTTACACTGGTCCTTCTTATTGGGAAAAACTGAAATATTTTGTTGACCAATTATTTCTGAAAACTTCTTTCTGTTAATAGACGGGACGCTTTCAGCTTCGCATTTACTAAGATACAATTTAAAAACATCAGAAATTGTATGAAATATGGGTTCCAAATATAGTTTAGATGAATGTTATCGAGCGTAGTGTGACGGCATTTTAGGCAGTTCAATTAAAAATTTTTGGAATAACTTTATTCTTCTTGCTAGTTCTGGTCGGTCACTTGTTTATTGCGCTGATCTGCGAGACGAGGGATGTTATATGAACTTTGTTGATACCATCTCTGAACCATTTTGTAATTGATACCAAGCGTATTCAAAAACATTTGTCGACAAAATTGCTTTACTCCTTGTCTATTATTTAATCTATACTGAAACGTAAAATTGCGTCTAGAGTCACTTTGATCTGCAGTGTTTCTCTTTTTCTCAATTTCTATCACATGAGCAGTCACAAATGACTGTTTTTGTGGCCAAGTGAGCTCCCAAAATTTATAAAAATAGTACCTCGTTTTCCTAAAAATTACGAACTAAAATATAAAAAGACTTTTATGCAACAATTAAAAATGTTACCTGAGCGGAGGGTTGGTTCAATGTATTGAAGCGTGCCATCTGAATCTGTAAAACATTTATTATTAAACAACATTTATTATTATAAAACAATTATTAAATTAAAATCACTTTCATTATATCCACTAACAAATAATACCTCAGTGTAAGGTGCGTTCATTGACTTATTGCAGGTTACCATCGAATTTTGTATTTTACACATTTTCACTAATTTCTTTCCTCGGTTCATGATTCCTCTGAATCACTCTGTAATATAAATAATAGCAGTCACCCCTAATTTATGTATAAAAAGGATTTCAATTTATAATATGCGTAAAAACAAATTGTCCTAACTCCATTTGACACGTTTAACAGACTCCTACTAGAACAATTTATTTTCTGACAAATTGTCCTATCTACATAAGTATTAAATTCAACGTTATTTTTAATTAAAATAAGATTTTTATCCAATTCCATATAAATAATACAATGCTCACAGAACTTAGGAATCAATACATAACTTTTTCTAGTAAAACAGGTCACTATTTACAGTGATTATACCAAAATAATTAGCACAATGTGCACAGCCACTTCACGTAAATTAGAATAGACGTTAGATAGGACATTTAGCATTCCAAATGGTGTCTGTTTTCAATATGCCAAATTGAAAGGCGCAGGTGCCGAGACAATGTTGTCGATTTTCGCAAATATTCCTTAATGGGGTGATAAATAGTCACATTTAAAATTGTTTCGACCAAAAATATAAAAATCGACAAAATGCGAGATAGGACATTTTGCCTGCTCATCATCGATATACACTTCACCTTCTAGATCAAAATTATTCTTTTAATAACGAATTTAAAATTAAAAAAAATCCACAAGGAAAAATTCCTGTAGCTGGCTGTATACCACGTATAACAAAAAGAGGTTAATCTTTGTAAATGGGTATATTTATTTAAAAAACCCTTAAAAGGGCCACATCAATAGAACAAACGTTTTCGGACTACACAGTCCATCATCAGGTTATTAAAATCGAAAATGCCTAAAAATAAGTATAAACCATTTAGTTAAAACAAACGAGATTTTGAAATTTTGACTAAGGTTGAAAAGCAAAAGATGGTTATACTTACTAGGTCATAATGCCTGAGCCACCAAAATATTAGGGTAAAAACCCTTTAAATTACATTTAGTTATGAAATGTTGTACATTGTGTTATAAAATAACTGTGATGTTCTATATTAAATTAAATTTGACCAAAGCTAACACATGGCTCAAATGGGTTCCAGAGCCGGGTGAGAGACAACCTCTGCACTCGGAGAACAACGTGGAACTGATTGACAAGATACTTTTGAAGGATGAAGATAACAGAATGTCAATGCAACAAAAACTATAAAAGTTGTACATAGTATTACTACAGCCAAAAGATTCAACAAGTTTTGATGATTTTAAAAATAACAACAATCTAGGTGTTGGGATTTAAAAACTTTTTATTTATTAATTTAGGGTATAAAAGATGTCAAATCAATGATGGTTTTATAGTCATGATTAATATAATGACCTGTGCCTTAGGCAACTTATGTTGCTTTTCGTCGTATGGAATGTGGTCTAAAGTGTATTTAATTTTTGGGTTAGCTTGTATTTGTGAAATTTATCCTTTTATGTTTAACACATCTAGGACAAGGTAAAAATTAAATAACAAATATTTGAAGCTAATATCAGACCTCATGTTTAAATGACTTTATTTAGGAAAGCTCCTATGGTGAAGAATTAATAAAATTAAGTTTAGTAAGATGGAAATCTACAGGCTGAAGAAATTGAAGTAGTAACATATGTGATTGAATTTAAAATCGAAGAGACTGGGTTCCTCAGAGACTAATGAGAATGAAAGCAAAAGAAATGAAAGGAGGGGGGGTTGAAGGAGAAAAGGAGTTGATCAACAATTAGAGATAATAGGGGTCCTTTATACTTAAAGTATCTAGCACCCTGAACAAAATCTATTTAGGTGGTATTAAATTCAGTTTGTAGAAACCTGAAATTTGTTGTATAAGTGTGCTACTAAGTTGTTGACCGAAAGAAGGTGGACAAAGGTAGATTAGGATTCTATGTAATATGGTAGATTATGAATTTTAATAAATTGTTAGATAATGTTTAAGTGATTACTAAATTAAAACTATTGGATACATGTTTAATATATGAATTGACCAAGAAATAATGAAAGAGAACAAAATTAACAGGAAAACGATGTAGAAGTGAAGAGTGAAGTGAGTGAAGAGATAAGATAGTGAAATGTTGGTATGGTGGATGTGGATGGTTCTGAAGTTAAAATTGGGGTCAGAAATTTGTGAGAGGAGGGTGTGACGATATTGTATAAAAAGGGGGTGTTTGAAGAACCACAAGATTATGTAGGAATAAGGTGTTGACGTTTGTATAGGAAAATAAGGCAGAGAAAATAGGACAGTATTGTGAAGTGTGGACTATGAAAAAAGTTGACGATGTAAAGGTTGAAAGTCACGGTTGAAAGATACATGGCGATTAACACAATTGGGGCTTTTTTGTTTTTCTTTGACTATTTCCAAGTCTTCATATAGGTCTAATTTTAGAAAATTTTTTTTGGGGAATATTATGTAACAAAGAGACGTCTTCTGGGATGTTGAGGGTATGTTTATGTTGTGCAAGATGTTGAGAGAAGGTGGAAGTGTTCTCTTTTTACACTTTAGACCACATTCCATACGACGAAAAGCAACATAAGTTGCCTAAGGCACAGGTCATTATATTAATCATGACTATAAAACCATCATTGATTTGACATCTTTTATACCCTAAATTAATAAATAAAAAGTTTTTAAATCCCAACACCTAGATTGTTGTTATTTTTAAAATCATCAAAACTTGTTGAATCTTTTGGCTGTAGTAATACTATGTACAACTTTTATAGTTTTTGTTGCATTGACATTCTGTTATCTTCATCCTTCAAAAGTATCTTGTCAATCAGTTCCACGTTGTTCTCCGAGTGCAGAGGTTGTCTCTCACCCGGCTCTGGAACCCATTTGAGCCATGTGTTAGCTTTGGTCAAATTTAATTTAATATAGAACATCACAGTTATTTTATAACACAATGTACAACATTTCATAACTAAATGTAATTTAAAGGGTTTTTACCCTAATATTTTGGTGGCTCAGGCATTATGACCTAGTAAGTTTAACCATCTTTTGCTTTTCAACCTTAGTCAAAATTTCAAAATCTCGTTTGTTTTAACTAAATGGTTTATACTTATTTTTAGGCATTTTCGATTTTAATAACCTGATGATGGACTGTGTAGTCCGAAAACGTTTGTTCTATTGATGTGGCCCTTTTAAGGGTTTTTTAAATAAATATACCCATTTACAAAGATTAACCTCTTTTTGAATTTAAAATTCTTCACATTCAAGATAAAGGCCTTAAGCAATCCTTGTTAGAATCTATGGAAATCAACAAATTAAAAAACACAGATATAATTCTGAATGACCAAATTGAGACAAACAGTTCTCCCTCTTCAACCTATTTCATTAGAGACTATAAAGTGTAAACGCATGCCAAAAATAGATCACTTGAGAAAGGCAATCAGCCGAAGCAGCTGTAGTGATAAGAGGTTAAAATAAATTTTGTTGAAGTTTGAAAACAAAGTTTTCAGTGTTCTATTGTTACATATTAAAAATTATTAATCCAGTAATTTGATCGATTACCTTTTTAGAATAACAAGAATGAGGTTTATGAAGGATGCTTAAATAAATCAATACAGGCCTATCAATTCAACCAAATTATAATTTTCCCATTGATGCCGCCAGGAGAATTATTAAGGTTGCGTTGCTCAGGAAAACCTCACTTTGATGATTGCATCGACGTGGGCAATAATGATATTAAAGAATGTTTAAATTCCACCCAATGGGAAGGATTGAAGGTATGGAAGCAAATTGATAAAGAAATTTCTGAACAAATATGCCAACCTGGTTTTATTGAATGTAAGTATAAATAAATAGTTTAAGAAACATTAATTTATCATATTCATTCATTTAAAAGAGTCTTATATTCACTCAAAATCTAATTAATATTGTTAAATATTAGCCTGGACACTGTATACAGGGTGTTTCAAAAAAGGTAACCCCGTCTCTAGGGTAGGTAAAAAACTGAAAAATAATTGGCGTTTACTTAGTAAAAAATTTTTGTAACGCCATTCGTTTTCAAGATACAGGGCGTCGAAGAAAAAAAATTACGCATTTTTTAAGATTTTGCCGAAACTAATGGCAACATTGTAATGTAATTTTATACGAATATGTTTTGGAAGCTAATACATCTCATGAAATTGTTTTTATATCTGATTCTCATAGAGGGCGCTAGTTACACGGATAGTTACAATTACAATTGTCTTCTGAGAGTTAATGGTGGTTCTCCTGTTAGGCGTGGTTCTGAAAGCTCCGAAAAAAAATGCGTATTGCTGTGGATTGGATGATGTCCAGTTTGTTGAATTGACTTTTAGTAGTAGTTTCGCAGCATATACATCCGTAATCTAATTTGCTTCTAATTAGAGCTTGATATGATCGTAGAACATTTTAGGATTTCCTTTTGTCAAATATTATTACTCTAGTTTTTTCGGTTGAAAATCTTAAGCATATATCTAAAGACCACCCTTCTAATTTATTTAGTGTATTTTGTAATATAAATGCAGCTGATTTTAGGTTTTTACTTCTCATTATATATTACATGAACGTAACGGTTTGCTTTTACTGGAAGCATAAAATGATTAGATACGTTGTTGATGGCTATTAAAAACAAGGGGCTTAATACAGATCCTTGAGGGATACCATTTTCCAGTGATTTCTTAGTTGACATGACACCGTTTGATTTAATTTTTTTACTTCTGTTCTCCAGGAAGTTTTTGGTGAAGGCTAAGAATTTGCCATCTATTTTCCAACTTTTCATTGTTTTTAATATGTGATATGTCCACGTAGTGTCAAATGCTTTTGTGATGTCAAAGAAAATTGCTATTAATTTTTGTTTATGTATAAAAGCTTCATGTATTTCAAATTCTAATGCTTTAATATTATCTATTGTAGACCGTTCTGATCGGTACCCACTTTGGATGGATGCAAGGAGATTTTCTTTTTCTAAGTACCATTTTAATATTTTGCTTAGAATCTTTTCCATTATTTTTCAGATGCTACAGGAAAGAGATATTGGTCGATACGAAGAAGATAAGTTTTTTGGTTTATTGTCTTTTAAAAATGGTATTATAATTGTTTCGCGCCAGAAAGATGGAAATTTATGGGTCGAATAAATTTTGTTGAAGATCTTTACTAAAGTAACCTTCGCGCTAATCGGTAGTTTTTCGATGAAAATTGGTGCTACGTCATTAGGTCCAGGTGAGGTATTTTTGGGGTTATTAAGACTTTCATTTAATTCATCAAGTGTTATGGAAGTGTTTAGTGGACCAGCAGTATCTTCTATATTAATTTTTCATGCTTCGGTTCGTTCTTTATGTTCTAAGAAATTTGAGTGGCACTGTTGATTGCTTGAATACAACTGATAGTGTTGTACTAAAATTTCTGAAATTTTGTGTTTGTCTGAAGTTGTTAGATCATTTGTAGTTATTCTTTCAATATGGTTAAATGTTTTTGAACCTTTTATTTTTCTTACTTTTTGCCATATATCCCTCATGGGCGTAGACGACTTAATTAAGGACACGTAATTGGTCCAGCTCCCTTTTTTTGTTTGCTTGATTAAAAATCTAGATTTGGCCTTTAAAGATCTAAAATTGTAATTGTTTAAATTATTAAGTGTGTTATACTTCTTAAATATATTCAAGGCATGTTTTGTTTGCTTTAAAGCGGATGCGATTTTAGTGTTCCGCCAAGGAAGAGGAGCGGAGAGTTTCGTCAGGATGTGGTAAATTTACGTTGCATATATTGATTTTAAAATGATGCATTACCGAAACTGCTCCTGCTTCCAGATTTGTATTTACCGGAATTTATTTGGATTGGATGGTTGAATGTACAAAAATTACGTCTTCACCACTGGATATTTGCTGTACTGCTCGATTTTTTGTAAAGGGCATAGCTAGAAGAGAACTAAGACAACGCAAATATGTTAAGAAACTCATATAAATTGTACAGTATTATTTCTGTGGTGTATATTGACTGTTTTTTTTAATGTAAGAGCAATTAGATATATTTTGCCAAGTTGGTTAATGGTATTAAACGAATTGGGGAATTGGAAATTATAATAACATTGAATATATCGTGCTAAACAGCAATAATTTAAAAACTCAAAAGCTATAATGTATAAAGCTTGAATATCTCATTTAACTGTTGCGCATTTCTACTTGCTGCTATATTATCATGGGTTTTATTTTTATAGACAGATCATAAAGAGCAAACCATTTAAATTTAATGTTTTATTTGAAATATTATAAATACATATCTTTGTTTTTTTTTTAGATGTTGCCAACCAAACCAAAGGTGTATCTGAATGTGAAAAAAATTTAAGCGAGGCATTTAACACATGTAGTAAAAAAATTGGCAATATCGATGCAACTTCTTTTGATATCTTCGATATTCCAAAACTTAGGAGCTACTGCAAGTAAGTTTAAAATGTAATTATAAATACAGAATACACCATCGTTTATAGTATATATATATATATATATATATATATATATATATATATATATATATATATATATATAAGGATCACTCAGACGAGTGGTGGGTTCTTATATCCGTCTCAAGGTGGAGAAATAAAAAGACAAAGTTAATGGCTACTTTATCTATTTTGAAGACGTTTCGCTTTCGTATTCTGAAAGCATTATCAGTTCATCTAAAAAGTACAATATGAAAACCACACAAGCATGGAAAAGATTTTATAAGTGTTACTTAAAAGATATGTAGCAGTCAATGATATTAAAAATGTAATAAAGCTTTTATACGGTAATATTGTATAAACAATCAATTAAACTAACAACAATTAGCAACTTAATAAAACTTCGTACAGCAAAAAAACATGTGGTCTAATATACATGTAATTGTAATTTAACATTAAGTAGAGAATGAAGAACTAAGAATATCATAGATTCACTTCCAACGATATATGCATTATTAATGAAATATTTATTTATTTAAAATCAAACCATAAATATTGCATATATCAAGGCACGTGGTGGTCGTGTGTATTAAGGTATAAAAAAATGCTTATTAAAAGCTTAAAACTTTTATTTTAAAGAAGATCTTTTCGGAATAAACTCATTCCATCATCAGTTTACTAAAAGAGAGAGTAAAAATACCAATATTAAAAAACAAGTAAGTTAAAATTTAAATATATAAAAAGAACACGTTGGTTTTTTACTGCTTACATAAAAAGTTGTCAAAAAAACATTTTTGAAAATAATTTCAGAAATAATTGTTTCAAAAAACTTCATGCTGCATACAAAAACTGAACTTTTAATTCACATTTTCATCATCCACATCATAATAGTTTAAAAATTCTAAAATCAATAAAAAAGAAAATAAAAACCCTAATCTAATAATATGCAAATCAGACAAAGGAAATTGCTTAGTAATTCTGGATCACACTGAATACATCAACAAAGTTACCACCTTTTTGAATAATAATCGCTTCATAGTACTTCCATATGGCCCACTGAACATATTCATTAATAAACAAAAAGCCTTTTTTAAAGAAATATTCTACTTTTTTCACTGATTTTCACGCACCATATTACAAAATCCCTAGTAACCCAATAATTCCTAGACTTTATGGTCTTCCTAAAATCCACAAAGAGGGCATTCCAATCCGTCCAGTAGTCAGTTTTATCAACACCCCGGTCTCCATAATTTCTAAATTCATACTCAGGGTAATCAATGACATAACAGGTTTTTTTCCTACTTTTTCCATCAAAAATTCATCCCAACTAATATCTAAACTCAATTACATAAATCTCCTACCAGATATGACTATGCTTTCATTTGACGTTAGCAATCTCTTTACTTCTGTACCTAAACTTGAAACTATTCAGTTAGTCCACGACCTTCTCACATCTAAATCAACTAATCCCCTAGTCATAACACCAATAATAGAGATACTTTCCTTATGTTTATCACAAGATTATTTTTCTTTTAATAATATTTTTTATAAACAACCTGATGCCTTGGCCATGGGAAGTGGCCTTTCTCCTTTTTTAGCTGGCCTCTTCATGAATCATCTGGAATCCACTCAAATCATGACAAATAATATAATTCTACACTGGTTCCGTTACGTTGATGATTGCTTAGTGTTCATTAGAGGTAACTTAAATACAGCTTCTTCCTTACTAAACACTATCAATAACACGACAAAACAAAATTACCGTATTATATTTTGATTTGATACAGATACATATACAACTTGTAGATCTCTAGTAACCAGGGCCATTGAACATTCCAGGTTAGAGAACACCTCTTCTTTTGCCCATCATCTCAAATATCACAATCACATAATCAAGGTACCAGAAGATATTTCTCTTCTTCATAACATCCCAGGTAGAGATTATCTCAAACTTGATCTTTTTGAGGATTTGGAAATAGTCAAGGAAAAAAAAAATAGCTCCAATTGTGTTAATTGTCACACCAGCATCAACAGAGACTTCGTCCCACTTCATCGACAATTATTCTCCTGATCTAACTTTCTTTCTTTCAACCACATATCCAGTTTTTTATAAAAAAATAAGTTTTCAACTATTATTATATTTTACAAGAGTGTAATTGTCTTTAGTAACCCTATTGGATGAATTCTGGGAAGGAAGTTCTCTAATCTACTGTCTAGTGTCCAGGTAGTTGATGGGCTCTAAGATGGCTCAGCCTACGTTGACTAGTGGTAACAGCCTGCAAGGACTGGCAGACCAACCAGAAAATTCCAAATTAAAATTTAATCTTCCCAAAAATTAAGGTTTTAATTCTTCCCAAAAATTAATTCCCAACTTAAAAATATTCTTCTCTCCAATCAAGGTCCAAGTCTTAAGATTTGAGCCGGCAGGCTACAAGAGAACAAAAAAGCTTTTTGTTTTTGTTAACCTTAGGATAGTAAAATATTTAATTTTCAATTAGATTAATTTAGAACCATATTTATATTGTGTCTGATTTCTTAAGATGAATTTTTTAATCATAATAGTTACACTAAATTTTTACTGAACAAATTTTATATCTTTTGTATTTTTAATAATCTTTTTAAATGTCGTGTTAATGTATTGTGTTATTTATATGCTTAAGTACTTAATATATAAAATTTCTAGAGATTCTTGACGGCATTTGATTGTAAGATTAACTGTTTGACACTGTATTTTAAGTACAATAAATGTTACTCTAGTGATTATTTTATTGATAATATAACCTAAATAATAATAAAACTTTATATATATTTACTAGGTATATATCAGGTTTTATTAATTTAATTTCCCTAAAAATATTTCTGTAATGAATTGAAGTTTTCAAAATATTAGTTTCCTAAAATTCAAATTAGTTTAATATTCTGGTAGACCTTACAGCTGATTATCGGACTACTGACGTCATAGAATGCGGTGTTGCCTTTTTTACTTCATGGCTTGAAAGTAAAGGTGGCTGTGGTATTATACTTTTCTGGAATCATCTCATTTATATCGATCTTAAAATGTCATAAAATATAGAGTGTTGCATTTAAAAAAGAGCTGACCTTATCACCTAATGTGTATTTTCTTTTATAATCCAATTTTGTTGTAGAATATATACACGTAACTATATATAATTTTTTTTAGACAACTGGGAGTATTTGATTCTTGTGTAAACGATTCTCGACCATCAAAGTGCGAAGCTATTATTACAAACACTATTTCTAAAGTAATTTCATCAATCAGGAGAAACATATGTGATGAAGCACTATAATGGAAAATATTGGTGAAATTATTACATAGTTGGGACATATTTGAGAACACTAAATTAAATTTTTAAAATCTTATGTAGCTTTAACATTAAATTTTCCACTATTTTTCTTTATCTAGTTTTCTTATGTTTACCTATTTTGCAATAATATATGAAATTGTGAGATTTAAGATTAAGACCACTATTATATTCTATAAAATAATTTATTTTGTTGTTGTTGGAATGTTCTTTGAACACGGAAAAAAGGTTAATACAAGTGAAAGCAATTAAAAGGTTTAAATTTGGCGAAAAGTTTAAATGATTTAAAAAATGTTATATAAACTCTTTAAGAACAATGGAAGATAAGTGGCTCCATGTCCACGATTCAAAATGCACAGAAATCCCGAAACAAAAGCAAAGATCCCGAAAAAGAAGAAAAACTAGTCGGAAAAATCTTCCTGCCCTATATAAAGGGTACGACAGACATAGCACAACATGTCATAAACACAGGGCACAAAATATACTTAGATGGAACAACAATCTCGGGGGAACCTGTAACACTAGAGAGCGCGTCCCCAGGTGGCGGATAGGGGAATGCCCTCACCGGCCTGTTTGCAGCTAGGCCGGCGGGTAGGTGGGAAATAAAATACCACCCGCGGACCAACAGGTGGGGTAGATAGGACTCCTAGGCCGTAGAGAAGGCAACTTATCTAAGAGAAGGATACTCTGATTTAAAACCCTGGTCCTCCAAGTTGGGGGTTGAGGCATCGGGCCAACTCCTCGATACTCGGAAAAAATGATCAAAGTTAAAAATTTCAGCAAAAAGTCTTGGAATTCGGACGGATTAAACTATAAACGAAATTCGCAAAGAAAATGGATTATGAATTTGGGTGCTTGGAACATACAAGGAATAAGGACAAAACAGGAGGAGGTCTTCCGTGAACTGAGTAAAATGAAACTAGACATCTGTGTATTAACTGAAGTAAAGAAAAAAGGAAGAGGAAATGAAAAGATAAACGAATACCTGCATTTCTATAGTGGCGTAGAAAAGAGCGAACGAGCTAAAAGAGGAGTGTCTATAGCAATACATCAGAAACTGAAAAAATATATTAAATCATGGCAAGAAATAGATGAAACAATTATCCTCATGGAAACTAAGAAAAATGGCCATGAAATAGTGGTAATTGGAACATATGCACCGACGGATGACTCAAGGGTTGACAGCAAGGAAGAGTACTTTAACAAGTTAACAACTGTTCTAGCCACAATTAATGAGAAGAAAGAAATTTGGATCTTAGGTGATCTTAATGCAAGAACCGGAAAGAGCTCCAACAGTGAAATAATAGGGAGATATGGAGAAGACATTCTGAACGACAATGGTCAAAGATTAATAGAAAAATATTAAATGGTTTCTTCCTTCATAAGAATATACATTAATTTACATGGACGCAGCCTACCAGGAATTTAAAATCAATAATTGACTATTTCATTCATCGTAAAGATTCTAAACTAAAAACGAAGGACGTGAAGGTGTTTAGAGGGCCAGAATGTGGAAGTGACCACCATATGATTATTGCAAAAGTAATGGTGACATTTAAGAGAGAACAATCAAGTCACAAAAATGATGAAGTAACAGACACAGGAACAACCATAGAAAACATAAAATATAACCTGAAAAGCTTTAAACAAGATTCGACAAAGTTCTTATATAAAATTAGAATAGCTCAGAAAATAAAAAATATAGAAACAAAGGAGTTAGACCCCGAAAGTCTGTATGAGGTAATTAAAAAATATATTCATGAAGCGGCAAATGAAGCACTGGGAAAAGTTGAAAATCGGAAGAAAGAAAAACCTGAATGGTCGTCAACGGAACTAGAAGAGAAAGTTCTCAAGAAAAAACAAGCATATCACATATGGCTTCACTCCAAAGATCCTCAAGACAGAGAAATATACGCTAAATGGAATAGAGAAGTTAAAAAAGACGTGGATAAGGCGAAAAATATAAACTGGTAGGCTAAGTGTGATGAACTGGACAGATTTATGGGTGGAACAAAAGTGGCGCAAGCTTGGAAAACATTAAAACAGTTTAGGAAAAATGAGAAAAATGAACATTTCTCTCATAAAGTTAAATGAATGGAAAGAATATTATACGAAACTACTGAAAGAGGATAGAGTAGAGTACAGATGGGAAAAGATAAGGGAATTAATAGACAACAGAGACGAAAGACAGGAAATCCCTATAATAACATTATCTGAATTGACGGAAACCTTAAAAGAGGTTAAAAACGGAAAAGCCGCAGGGCCTGTAGACATTCCCATAAAGCTGGTTAAATATGGGCCGACTGCACTTTTAGAATTAATAGTAGACCTTTTCAATAAATGTATGTGTGGAGACCAGGAAATTCCTAAAGATTGGAATAAATCTTATATAAGCTCCATATATAAGAGAGGGAATAAAAGAGACTGTTCCAATTATAGAGGTATTAGTGTGACGAGCTCTGTGGGCCGGTTGTACGGCAGAATATCAAAGAAGAGGGTTGAAAGACAGATACAAGATATTGAAGAAAAAAGCGGCTTTCGTACCGGGAGATCCTGCCTTGATAATATATTTATCCTACGACAAATAATTGAAAAGCGTGTCGAAAGAAGTAGAGAGACCCATTTGGTATTTATAGACCTTGAGAAAGCATATGATAGTGTCCCGTTAAAGAAAATGTTTGAGGTCCTCAAAAGGTCCGGATTGGATTCGACGTATATCCGAGCGATATATAAATTGTACGAAAATGCAGTTAGTTGTGTAAAAATTGGAACCAGAACCTCAAATGAATTTAAAGTCAGTAAAGGCCTAAAGCAAGGATGCTGTTTGTCACCGACACTCTTTAAAATATACGTCCAAGAAGCATTGAGGAATTGGAGAAATAAATGTAGATTTATGGGCATCGAAGTGGGACAAGAAACTCTGTATACATTGTTGTTTGCAGATGATCAGGTGGTGGTTGCCACCGATGAGGAAGATATAAATTATATGAATCGAAAATTATTTGAGGAATATGCCAAATGGGGGCTTACTGTAAACATAAGCAAAACAGAATATTTAAAAATTGGAGGAAATACCACAGATCTGAGGCTTGAAAACGCAGTCATAAAAGGCTGCAACCAATATAAATATCTAGGAAGCATCATATCAGCAGATGGCAGAGTTAAGATAGATGGACAAAACCGAATAACCCAAGGGATAAAATGCATCAGAATACTGAATTCATTACTGTGGTCTAATAAAATAAAGATGCATACCAAACTTTGCGTATACAGAGCAATTGTAGAACCAATTACCACATATGGTGCCGAATGTTGGACGATGACAAAGAATGAACGAGATAAAGTACACGTTGTGGAAATGGATTATCTTAGAAGGTCATGTCGAGTATCGAGAATGGAAAGAATCAGGAATGAGGAAATACGAAACCGTACAGGAATTAGAGATACTCTTTCAGATAGAATACAAGGAAGGCAATTACAATGGTATGGTCACGTGATGAGAATGGAGGAGGAGCGGTGGCCAAAGAAAGCCTTAATGTATGTTCCGCCAGAAAGAAGGAAAAGGGGAAGACCACCAAATTCCCGGAGAAGAGAAATTACAAAAACAATGCAATCTAGAGGCTTAGAAGAGGGAGATTGGGGAGATAGGAAAAGATGGAGGCTGAAATGCGGGAAGCGGCAATCGCCGTAGGACCCCCGTTATATGATGATGATGATGGAACAACAATGCTAGCCAACATCGAAAATAAGGCTAAACCTGTAATCAGGGAAGCCATAGATATCGAAAAACATCCAAAAAATTTAAATACCAGAGATGATGCCCAAAGACTCCCAAATACGTGGAAACCAATTCTACAGAAATAAGTAGAAATTAAAACAGCGAAGAAGACCACGCCCACTCTTCGCACTGGACCGATCACAAGAAGCGCTACAAGGTATTTAAAGCGTGCAGCGACCGAGATATCAGTTCGCCTGGAACATCAAGATGAAGCAGAACTAATCTGACTTGACAATGGCAAGTGTGACCTTGCCGAAACGTCGCCAAAACAATGGTTTTTCTAAAAATCAAAACTATTTATCGCGGAGTCAAACCCAAAAAATAACTGAAACCACATAATTATAGCTTCCGCGGAAGTTTCAAATCCCATATATATATATATATATATATATATATATATATATATATATATATATATATATATATATATATATATATATATATATAGGGCTGCAGTCAGAAGTTTGGCCGGGATGTTACAGAAACACTCTTTTGACTTTTGGTCTAGCTTTCGGAATTCCTTTTTCAAGACACTGTAGTTCGAAAAATGTGTAAATATTTACAATATATCACAAAATGGCAGTGCAACTTACTAGTCGTTGAGATTATTTGTATAAAGCTATGACACTTAACATTACTAACACACATATAAAATAGAACAACAAATAATGGACAAAATACATTTTAAAATTTTTTTAAAGATAGTAAAAATTCGTTTGTGACATCATGTAATGGTGTGTTTTGACTGATCCACAGAGAATAGAAAGAAAAAAAAAACAAAAGCAGTATGATTAAAAATTAATTAGGTAGGTGTTCTTCATACTAAATATTAATAGAAAGTAATGTATTAAACCTGTGTTGATGGTATGCAACCTGTTTTGCATGCAGGTATATTGTGGTGTATATATGTACAAGTAAGTCTTTATTTCATTTTTGATGTTTTGTCAGTAAATAACAATAAATGTTGCTCAGAAAATTACGAGATGATTCACCAATATACACGTTTTTATAATTAGCAACGGTATAGAATAAATAACATTCGATGATTCCTGTATTGTAAAATTATCCTTTGTCTTTGTGAACAACTTCGATACCGTTTTCACATTCTTAGTTGCAATTTTTAAGCCACTAACGTTTTTGAAAATGTTCATTAGCTTAGGTGTTAGGACTGAAATATAGGGTAGGCAACCATACGTTATTTTAGATTGTGGTAGCTCTGATATGTTGTGTGTCAATGTTGATGTCAGTTGTCGGACCTCATTATTATGTTTTGGTTGTCACAAAATTGCAACAGAAAAGAAGTACCAAAAATGA